GGCTTTCTGCAGGGTGTGGGAGGCACGAGCCCCTTTGAGGGTTGCCTGCTGAAGGGGGCAGGTTGGATGGGTCAGGTCAGTCACATGGTGCTAGCAAGATAGTGTTAGCACTGGCTCCCCTAAGTGACTAGCCATCTAGGCTGGGAGAGGGGAAGAGAAATAGCACCTGTCAGCACTTTTGTTCCCAGAGAAATCTCTTAAAGACCCTTGCCTTTCCAGCACATAACCCAAGACTAGTCAATAAATTTTCTTGACATATACCCCAGGCACTTTGCAAACTGCTGCTTCTGCACAGTGTCTCCGCCAAGTTACTTATTATGTTGGGTTCTTAAGTGAGGGGACTCAGTTTCCTATTGCCCTCTGGCTCTCCCGGCATTAAGCCTACTGATTCTTAACATTCCTGGATTTAAGCCCCACTGATTTTTTTTTTTTTTTGAACTATAGGTGACACACAATGTTACATTAGTTTCAGGTGTACAACATAGCACTTCAACAACTCTGTTACAGTTTGCTCACCACAAATGCAGCTACCATCTCTTACCATACAACACTGTTATAATGCTATTGATTAGATTCCCTATCTTGTACCTTTTAGCCTTGTGACTCACTGATTCCATAATTGGAAGCTTTTATCTCCCACTCCCTTTCACCCCTTTTGCCCAAGCCCCCTACCCCCTCCTCTGTAGCAACCATTAGTTCTCTGTATTTATGGGTCTGTTTCTCCTTTTTGTTCTTTTGTTTTTTAGATTCCATATATAAATGAAACCATATGGCATTTGTCTTTCTGTATCTTGTTTCACTTAGCATAATATCCTCTAGGTCCCACCATGTTCTTGCAAATGATAACATCTCCTTTTTTATGGCTAAGTAATATTCCATTATATATATTTATGTGTGTGTGTGTGTGTGTGTGTGTGTGTGTGTACACACCACATCCTGATCCATTCAACTATTGATGGACACTTGGGTTGCTTCCATATCTTGGCTGTTGTAAATCATGTATCTTCTTGAATTAATGGTTTTGTTTTCTTTGGGTAAATACTGTTTTGGAATTACTGGATCATATGGGATATATATATATATATATATATATATATTTTTTTTTTTTTTAAACCTCCTTACTGTTTTCCACAGTGACTGCACCCATTTACATTCCTACCAACAGTGGAAGCAAGAGGGTTTCCTTTTCTCCATATCCTTGCCAACACTTGTTTGACAAGTGGGAGGTGGTATCTCATTGTGATTTTGATTTGCATTTCTGAGATGATTAGTGGTGTTGAACATCTTATGCCTTCTTCAGAGAAATGTATGCTCATGTCTCCTGTACATTTTCCAATTAAATTGTGGTTTTGGTATTGTGTAAGTTCTTTATATATTTTGAATATTAATACTTTATAAGTTAATTAATTTGCAAGTATCGTCTCCCACTCAGTAGATTGCCTTTTTGTTGTGTTGGTTTCCTTCATTGTGCAAAATTTTATTTTGGTGTAGTCCCAATAGTTTAATATTGCTTCTGTTTCCATTTCCTGAGGAGAGCTTAACAACATAAATATGTTGTTAAGGGAAATATTAAAGAGTGTAGTGCCTGTTTTCTTCGAGGAATTTTATGGTTTCAGGTTTAGGTCTTTAACCCATTGAGCTTATTTTTGTGTATGACATAAGGAGTCTAGTTTTTCTTTTGAATGTGGCTATTCAGTTTTCCCAGTATCATTTATTGAAGAGACTATCTTTCCCTCATTGTATATTCTTACCTTCTTTGTTATGACAAGATATATAGGTATGGGTTTATTTCTTGGCTCTCTATCCCATTCCATTAATCTATATGTCTTTTTTTTTTTTTTTAAAGTAGGCTCCATGCCCATTGTGGAGCCCAGGGTGGGGCTTGAACTCACATCCCTGAGATCAAGAACCAAGTGGAGATCAAGATTTGTGTGCTTAACCAACTGAGACACCCAGATGACCCCTATATGTCTTTTTTTTTAAAAGATTTATTTATTTTAGAGTGGGAGGGACAGAGGAAGAGAGTGTCTTAAGCAGACTCTGCACTGAGTGCAGAACCCAGAGAGGAGCTTAATCTCATGACCAGAGATCATGACTTGAGCCAAAACCAAGAGTCACATGCTTAACCGACTATGCCACCCAAGTGCCCCTTCATATGTCTGTTTTTGTGTCAGTAGTTTACTCTTTTTGATTATGCTTAGTCATATATCTTGGAATGTGCAATTGTGCTATATCTAGCTGTGTTCTTTCTCAAGATTGCTTTGGCTATTTGAGGTCTTTGGTGATTTTTTTTAACTTTTTTTTTCTTTTAAGATTTTTATTTATTTATTTGTCAGAGAGGACAAGCAGGGGAAGCGGCAGAGGGAGAGGGAGAAGCAGACTCCTCGCTGAGCAGGAAGCCCAATGTGGGGCTCAACTGCAGGACCCTGGGATCATGACCTGAGCTGAAGCCAGATGCTTAACCAGCTGAGCCACCCAGGCGCCCCCAGGTCTTTTGTAATTCTGTACCAACTTTAGGATTATTTGTTCTAATTTTATGGAAAATGCTCTTGGTATTTTGATAGGGATTGCACTGAATCTATAGTTTGCTTTGGGTAATATGGACATTTTAGTGATGTTCTTCCAATTCATGGGCATGGCGTATCTTTCCATTTGTGTCATCTTCAGTTTCTTTCATCAGTGTCTTAGAGTTTTCAGAGTATAGGTCTTTCACCATCTAGGTTAAGTTTATTCCTAAGTATTTTATTCTTTTTGGTGCAATTTTTTTTTTAAATTTATATTTATTTATTTGACAGACAGAGATCACAAGTAGGCAGAGAGGAGGAAGCAGGCTCCCTGCTGAGCAGAGAGCCCGATGTGGGGCTCGATCCCAGGACTCTGGGATCATGACCTGAGCTGAAGGCAGGGGCTTTAACCCACTGAGCCACCTAGGCGTCCCATTTTTGGTGCAATTGTTAATGGGATTGTTGTTTTCTTAATTTCTCCACTGCTTTGTTATTAGTGTATAGGAATGCAGCTGATTTCTAGATGTTAGTTTTGTATCCTGCAACTTTACTGCATTTGTACTGTTTTTTTGTGACATCTTTAGGATTTTTTATATATAGTGTCATGTCATGTGCAGTAAGTTTAACTTCTTCCTTGCCAATCTGGATGCCTCTTACTTTCTTATCTGATTGCTGGAGCTAGAACTTCTAGAAACTATGTTAAATAAAGTGGGAGGAGTGGGCATCTTGGCTTGTTCCTGATCTTAGAAGAAAAGCTCTCAGTTTTTTAGCATTGAGTATGGTGTTAGCTTAGGCTTTTTATATATACCCTTTATTATGTTGAGGAATGGTTCCTCTAAACCACTTGGTTGAGTTTTTATCATGAGTAGATACTGAATTTTGTCAAATGCTTTTTCTTCATTTACTGATCATGGATTTTATCCTTTTGTTTTGTTGATCATGGTGTATCACACTGATTTGCAAATATTGAATCACCCTTGCATCCCCATAATAAATCCCACTTAATTATGGGAAAGATTATCGAATAAGTGTTTGCTAATTTGTTGAAGATTTTTGCATCTATGATCATTATGGATGATAGCCTGTATTTTGGGGGGTGGGGGTAGTGTCTTTGCCTGGTTTTGATATCAGGGTAACACTGGCCTTATAGAATATATTTGGAAGCTTCCCTTCCTCTTCCATTTATTGGAATAAATTGCCATGAATAGGTATAAACTTAAATGTTTGTTAGAATTCACCTATAAATCCATCTGATCCTGGACTTTTGTTGGGATTTTTTCAATTATCAGTTCAACTTCATTACTAAGTATTAGTCTATTCAGATATTTTTAAGTTGCCCAATTTGTTGGCATATCAATTTTCATAAGTCTTATAATCTTTTGTATTTATATAGAGCAGTTATTATTTCTGCTGCTTTGTTTGATTTTATTTTGGTCCTCTCCTTTTTTCTTGATGAGCATGGCTAGAGTTTCATGAATTTTATCTTTTCAAAGAACCAGCTCTTGGTTTTACTGGTCTTTTCTTTTTTTTCTTAGTCTCTATTTCCCTCCTTCTACTAACTTTGTATCCTGCTGATTTCTAAGGCTCCCAAAGATAAGCCCTACTGGTTTTCAAAGCCAAATGTTATAGGAACTTCTGTTCCCAGTGCAGATCCCTAATGCCAGGTGTCTCTGGTGTGGGGTGTGATCCCCTGGCTTCTTCAGGCTTGTGAGTATCCCTCCCTTTTGTGGTGTCCCTCCCTTTTGTGGTTAGTCTGACCAGGGCACCAACCACAACTCCACACCTCCTACCCTTTTCCATGTGACATTCTCTCTGCAGCTAGCTGTGGAAGGTCTGGTCTGTCTTTAGGTTGTTTTCAGAGTTGTATAGATGTACATGTCTATCTGTTTTCTTGGGGCGTCCATGGGATGAGGTGAGCTCAGGATCCTCCTCCATCTTCCCCTGACTCTCTGAACCTCCGTATCTTTTTCTTTGACACCAGCCTCCCCCCTCAAAATGTTTTGGCTAACATTTCTCCCAGAGTTCCTCAGCATTCTTTAAATTTTCCTAGTGGGTAAGGAGGGAGAAGGAGCCCTTCCAAGGCCAGTTACACTGAGAAACTGTAGAGGAAAACCAGTTTCTTTATTGCAGAACTTTTCAGAATCTCTACTGTACTAATGTGTTTTGAAACTCTAAGAAGTAACTCTGTGCAGCATTTTTCAAATTCATTTGTCTATTTGTGAGAAGGGGATATGTAGTGGGGGGATACCATTCTAAGAAACAAATTATTTCTCTGTAGGTACAACCAAGTATAAAATGGATATAAGTTCAAGTCACACTGCCGTAACAGCCTTGCCAGTTGACTCAGCTCTAGCTTTAGCTAAAGGATTCAGCATCTGTCAAAACCATTGTTATAAAATTCAAAATATCCTTGAGCTCTGTAGACATTTATATATACACACCCCTGTAGCAGTATGAGGGGAAACTTTCACAATTCCTTCTCTGTTCTTTCAACAGCATTTGCCATCTATCAGTCGCTGCCGTATTTTGAATCATTTGGCACTTACTCCACAAAGCTGCCCTTTGATTTATCAATCTATTTCCCATACGTGCTGAAAATATATCTCATGATGCTCTTTATAGGTAAGTGGCTTTTCTGTTTTGTTTTGTTTCTGCATTCTTCCTGTGCTTTCTGGTTTGTGCTGCTATCTACTTTAACAGAAAGGTCTGTGAACATGGGAGAAACAGAGGAGGATACCCAGCACGGTGAATTAGACCTTGTTAGTAAAGCACCTAGAAGTTACAACGCTTTTCGCAGGGTATCACAAGATCAAGTATGTCACTGTTTCGCTGTATAAAGAACAGGTTTACAAGCAGGTAAAGTACCTGTATTGTGTAGGAATTTTAGAAATTTGACTCTGGATACAGGGATCTACAGAGAAAACCTAGATGTCAAACTAAGCAGGCTGGGCCATTTCTGGTTTTCCCATTTATATCTATTTGTTTCCTGTTTGTTTGGTTTTTTGTGCTAGCATTTCCCAGCAGGCATGTGGGAGTAGGTGCTAAAAACCCAAGAAAAATGTGTGGAACAAAAACTTAAAAGAGTCAAGAAAATTTAATCGGCAAAGGACTTCTATGATTACATCTCACTTTCTGAAGCTCTGACCTTCACAAATCCCCAAGGTAGTTGGTCTAGAGTCATCGTCAGACAGATAGGAACAATGCATCAGGAAGAAGACAGATGTGAAACTTCAGGGCTGGTAGAGAGCGCTACCCTCCAGAAAGGGAAACATTAATTCCTTGCCTTAAAATAGGAGCGTAGAGGAGTTCGCTTTACTTCCCTTTCCTGGCCTCTTGTTTACATGGTCCTTCTTTGAGTCTCCCATGCAAGTGTCTTGTCCTTAGACTCCAAGCAGCACTCTGACTATATATCTTTCCAAAGAAATGGTTAATCAACCTTACTTACTCTTGCCACTTCCTTCTCTGTGTTAGGCATGTATTATACCTACAGTCATCTTTACTCAGAAAGAAGAGACATCCTTGGAGTCTTTCCCTTTAAGAAAAAGAAAATGTGAAGCACCGCATTCCGATGTGAGAGAAGGAAGGACAGGCTTGTGGACTCAGCTGTAACAAACAACACAGGAAGTGGCCTGCTGGAAAAATACCTGCTACTGGACACGGCTCCGCGACGACCACCTTCTCCTCGAGCTTGAAGCCGATCGCAGCACTCTTATCCTTGCATGTTCCACGCAACCTGCTTTACCAAAGCTGTGGATTTTATACAAGTAACTTTACATTGATTCTTTTCCTGTAAGGCAAACGAGAAATAGATTCACTGGAACGGATTCAATGAAATTGAGAAACCAAAGTTGTTAGCCGGGATTTTATCTGTTTACATCTTTTTCTTTTCACTTCGGAGTTTGCAAATAGCAACTCCACGGGAGGGCAACAATGTGAAATATGTGGCAGTTGTCTAGAATAACGTTTTATAGACCGATGTCACCCTCACCAGGGCTCACCCCCATCTTACACATTAGACACGCTGAGAAAATTCTACATTTTCCAAGCCCTGAGAAAGTATTCATTAATATTTGGAGTTTGATGCCTTAAAAAGAGGAGACTGATGAAAATAGAATGGATCTTTGGTAAATATACAAATATTTATTTGATCCATATTCCTTTTCTGGGGCAGGGGTTGAAATCAGGCCATGTTACTTACAGGGAGGCAAAAGGTAAAAATCTAGAGTAAATTATTTTAAAGGAGATAAGGCAGTTAACTAGTGATGTTTCAGATTACTATTGAATTATTGTTGCTAATCACTGTCACATAAGTCACAGAGTTTTGAAAACTGACTAATATCACTTCTGTATCATCAGTATACATTCACTTTTCTTGAAAGGAGTCTAGAATCTTATTATCCAGTAACTATATAAAAAGGTTACTAAATATTTTATGACATAAAAACCAGGTAGTAAAATATAGTTACAGAAAAATTGGTAACTAGGTAAAGATAACTGATATCTTTGAAAATTTAGTATCCTATTTGGGATCTTAAAATACTTAAAATCATCCTTCTAAAAAGCTACATCCTGAGATACCTGGGTGGTTCAGTCAGTTAAGCATCCAATTCTTGATTTTGGCTCAGGTTGTGGTTTCATAGATGTGCGTTCAGGCTGCACATTGGGCTCCATGCGCGGCAGGGAGTCCACATCTTTCTCTCTCCCCCCTCTAAAAAAAATAAATAGGGGCGCCTGGGTAGCTCAGTTGGTTAAGCGTCTTTGGCTCAGGTCCTGATCTCAGGGTCCTGGGATCGAGCCCCGTATTGGGCTCCCTGCTTAGTAGGAAGTCTACTAGTCTCTCTCCCTCTACCCATCCCCCTTTCAAATAAATATTTAAATAAACAAAATGTAGGGGCGCCTGGGTGGCTCAGTGGGTTAAAGCCTCTGCCTTTGGCTCAGGTCATGATCCCAGGATCCTGGGATGGAGCCCCGCATCGGGCTCTCCACTCAGCAGGGAGTCTGCTTCCTCCTCTCTCTGCCTGCTTCTCTGCCTACTTGTGATCTCTGTCAAATAAAAAAAATCTTTAACAACAAAAAAAAGCTTTTTAAAAAAGCTTGTTTTTCAAAATTAAAAAATACTGAAAGTTTTGGTGTACAAAGAGAACAAAATCCATTTGCAAACTGTAGGTGACTCAGTCAAGCTTCCTCTCAGTCAATATGGCTACGTAGATTGCTGAAAGCATCACGTGCATCACTAAAGTAGCAGAGTAAGAATTAGAGAAACTATATCGCACTGGACTATTATAAGAAATTAAAATCTTGTTATTTAATTTTTAAACCACATTACCATAAGAGCCTGCCTAGTTCTCAAACTAGACTAAAAAGCACAGTTTATAATTATGGATTGAAAATCAGGTCTCCGCAACAATAGTAACAAAGCTCTGTGATTCCTTTGGTAAAACACAGTCACAACTTATTATTACGGGTGGTTACCTGTATTCATAATTGAAAGAAAAATTTCATTAGAGGTTAGTGGACTTAAGGATGTCATTTCTCTTCCACTCAAGTTCATGTTCCCCAGGTTAAGAAACTTAGAGAAGTAAACATCTACCTTGTTAACTGGATATTACCCAGATTGCAAAGGTGATTTTTTTTGGCTGATTTCTTAAACTGTATGTCCATCAAATCTCTATTTCATTTTGTTCAGTGTTGTCAAAGGCTTGGTTTCTCAAATATAATAAATATAGATGAAATAGCAAACTGTTAGATATTTTAGAAGCATAACACGTAACTTTTAAAAAGATCTTTCTTAGGGCTCCTCGATGGCTTGGTCAGTTAAGCGTCTGACTTGATTTCAGCTCAGGGTCGTGAGATTGGGTCCTGTGCTGGGTGTGGAGCTACTTAAGATACTTTCTCCTTCCCCAAGCCCTTTTCTCTCTCCCTCTCTGTAAAACAAACCTCCCCCCCAACTTTCTTGGGACCTTTCAATGCCAAGTTCCATTGCCTCAAGTTCCTAGTAACCCAAGCTAAGGTGTAGTAATCAACATCAGCAGTGCCTCTGGGACTTAAAAGGGTAGGGTAGCGGGGGCGGGGTAAAACTGCTCTGAATGAGAACTACTTCGAAGAATTTCCTTACTCAGCAAAAGCCTGCCTAAAAAATACAACACACAGACACTGTAATATCATCAAAGTCCCTGGGCTTTTATGTTACCAAAATAGTTGAATGAAAAGCAGTAACACTTCTGCCAAAAGTATCCATTCAATATTAATGTGTTTTCTTTCCCTCCAGTATGCTCTTCAAGAATCACAAAGTTATCCTGGTCTTATGTTTTTGTTCAATAAACAGGTTAACGTTAGAATGAGTTGATTCTTAGTTGCTGCATAAGTGTCTACCTTTGTTCAAGAAACACCTTGTGGGACGCCTGACGCACTGAAGGCACAAAATTACAAAACTTAACTCGGCTTCCTGCAAACATACTTGTTACCAAAGAATGTACCACATCGCACTGAAGCCCCCCGCCCCGCCCCCAAGAAAAACCATTTTGTTTTAGGATATCTTATTCTGCTTACCTTGAGCAAGTTGTCACCTATAAGACTTTGTGTTTCTTTCAAGAGATAATGTAGCTGTAACATCAGTATCCGAAATATTTCCACAGAGAATCTTACATTTATTGATGTACAAAGAAAACAGTTACATTTTATTGTGCTAAAGTATCAATGATTTAAAATGAAAATATGCTACAAATGATTTCCCCTTTCCCCCACATCTTCCTCTCATTGGCTTATTTTTCCTTTGTAAACATTTTTGCCTCCTTGTTAATTTTTACTTTCTACTTCCAGGTCTAATTGCTATGTTACCTTTCGATATGGCGCTCTTGCCAAGTATATTCCAGAGAGCAACAGTCCTAGGACAGGATGCCACCTAGGACCCAGACTCTTGGGCTCCACTGGGACCCAGGAACCTACATGTTGTTAGGCTCCTTAAATGCCCCTCCTACACACTACAGTTTAAGTATCTCAGCTTTGGACAGAAATCTAGAAATCTGCTAATTTATATAAAAGCCCCCATACAACGTAGCTTTCTCTGTTTTCAGAATGGAGATGACGGCATTTATGTTTGGTTTTTAAAGATGTTAAAGAGGGATTTATCTTTGCTAAGGGTAGCTAGAGTTTAAAACCTCAAGTAAAGGTAACCGTCAATTCCATATTGCAAATCAACTAGTGAGAACATGCCTTAATTCACCAAATAAACGTAGGCGTCCGCTGCGTACTTACTTTGTGGTACTCTGCTGAGCCACAGGGTCCTGTGAGCGAGAACGTGGCCTGGATGGAAGTAAGAGCAGTGGGTTTGATAGGAAATCCAGCTCCAATGTTTACTAAGTGAATGAGCCCAGGGTTCCTTTCCTTCACTGCCCCCACGCTGTTGTAAAGAATAAATGCAGTGCGGTAAACTAAACCTCTCTAAATGATAAAGAGCTACACAGAAGCAGGAAATTTGTAACATGTTTCCTGGATGCATTAAAATTATCTGATGGTTTACTAATTTATATTTTCTGAATATAAATTCTGTGAGGGCAGGAATATCATGCCTTGTTTACTCCGGGCACATGGTACACACTCATAATTGTGCAGCTCTGACTTTAGAGATTACTACCAGTACCTCCAGAAAAAGTCCTGTTTTAAGAAATCTATCAGATAGGGGTGCCTGGGTGGCTCAGTTGGTTGGGCCTCTGCCTTCGGCTCAGGTCATGATCCCAGGGTCCTGGCATTGAGCCCCATGTGGGGCTCTCTGCTCAGCAGGGAGCCCGCTTTCCCTCCCCTCTCTCTGCCTGCCTCTCTGCCTACTTGCGATCTCTGTCAAATAAATAAAACATTTTTTAAAAATATCAGATTGACTAGGTGATATCTCCATTGTATTTGATAACTCTCAAAGGGCAGTTCATATTTACAAGACACAAAAGGACTTTTTTGTTTTGTTTTTTTAGCTTCTCTAAGTATCCTTTCCTAATGTGCTACTTGCTTTTAGAATGTTTTAAGAACTGGTTAAATTTCCATTATCTTCCCAAGTCCTAACATACAGATCGCCAAGCGTTAGAACTACTTTCAGCGAAACATACGAAGGTGATAACATTTCTATTACGTTTTAGAATTTATAAACCATATTTCTGTATCATTGTGAGATACAGGATACCTTCTGTATCCTGTATACCTTCTGTATCCTGTATCCTTTCTCTTTTATCCTTGTGAGTTAAGTTATTCCTTGTATCCAAGAAACAAAACCAAAATCAGGGAGTCATCCCTGTCATTTTTACTTGGTTTCACGTCCAATAATTTAGCTAGAAATTATTTCACAAGTTCCTTATGTTTGACAAGAACCAGACAATCTAAGTGGCAATTTTAAAGAATTCCATACTGTTTATGAAGATTAACACATTCCACGCACACTCACAACTTCATAATTACTGTATATAGCATACATTTTTTAAAAAATGAGGCTCGAGAGTTTATCATCAGTATAAAGCATTTCCTTCCAGGAAATATAAAAGCATATTACATCATCTAGGACCGGAGTGACGATGATACACATTTATACATAAAGATGACAGCATGAGGCGTTTTTTTGCGATGGTAGGATGGAGGATGGGAATTGTTCTGGCCACATCCGGTCCCCTGGTTTCATCCGAAATGCCTATAGCTGGGAATAGGCGTGTTGGGGCATCTCACTCAGACTCACCCAGAGGCCTCGCCTACAGCTCTGGCTTTAGTGAAGGCCCCATCCTCCTAAGCCCAAGATCTGATCTCCCTTCGAAAACAGCAATTTATGAAAATGTTTACCAGAAGTTTAAAACTGCTTATTTTCAAAGTGACTAAGTTATTTTGAGATAGTAGTTGCGTCCCTAACAAAGTCTTATTCCTTTTATAATTACAATATCGCTATCTTTGGTTAAAATCATTTCAAGTGAACTTCTGACCGTTACCTTCAAAAAAGGTCATTAGCAGCCTTGTAGTTACTTACCATGGAGTCATTACATGACAAAACATAATTTTAGGCCCTTGCACGGATCCCATCCCAACATCTGCTCCAAATGCACACCTTGCAAATCAAGAGTCAGAGTGTTCTGAGACACATAATAAGGCTTTAACCCCACATGTTCATTTGTTAGTATATCCCAGCATGCTCTTTGTCTTGGCAACTTGTGATTTCAAAATCCAACAGAAGATGACTTGTGAAAAGGAAGTGTTTCCATACATAGTTTGGAACATCTGGTCTAAAAAGGCAGAGACTTCTGAGAAAATAACTTAATTCTGACCTGAAGTCACACAGGGAACCAAGAGAAAGAGTGTTATTATTCCAGTGACCTAATATATTAGTGTGTTTAGATTTTAGAACCTTTAGGTTTTGAAATTTACATTATTTATTTATTTTTTAAGAGAGAGAGTTCGAGCGATCAGGAGAGGGACAGAGGGAGAGGGAAAAAAAAAATCTCAAGTAGCTGAAAGCCCTGCGTGGAGCCCTGCTTGGGGCTTGATCTCACAACCCCGAGATCATGACCTGAGTCAAAATCCAGAGTCAGTCACTTAACCAACTGAGCCACCAGGCACCCTTAGCACCTTATATTTTTGACTCTTCAGAGATGACCATGAAGAGGAAAATCCTACAAATCTTAAGCTCAAGACCCCCGAGAACAAAAACGGGGGGGGGGGGGTTGTGTAGCTAGGGAAGAAGG